AGAGACCAGGACATCTTTGAATATCCATACTGATGGGTCCATTGTCTCATCTCGGACTTTACACATCTAACAGCTTCTTACGAGTCATCCTAATGAAATATCATCTGCTAAAAGTAGCTGATGGATGAGACATTACTTCATCCATCAACCCAGATTTATTCTATATAAAAGGATCCCAGTCAGAAAGTTGTTTTTTTATGACCTAAAGAGTCTTGCTTGTTATTTTCAACCTTGCAAGAATTAAATGCCGCCTCTCAGACCACTTAAAAGGAAAATTACATAATAAAATACAGTATGTGGAGTAGTATTGTTCTTTTCACAGCCGCTAGGTCTGACCTTATATTTATCATGGTAACTTTTAAAGGGAGAGTTCCTTAGTTAGTATTTTTCCTATTTATCCAAACCCATTGTTGCCTTTTTATTTGCAGTTTAAAGCTGTGTGGACAGTGAGGTTTAACATAATGTACATACAGAAACCCTAGAAGGTTACATTATATTATAAATTTTTTCCACTGCCCTGGTGGTGAGTAAACAAATCAATTTTAAAAAGTTTATAAATTGGTGTATATATAAAATGTGTAAATTACTGTATGTATATATGATGAGCCTGCAGGGAGATATTTTAACCTCTGGATGAAGCCAGGCTAGCTGTTTCCAGTCTGTCTAACCTGAGCGAATAACCCGCTGGCTGTAGCTTCATATTTAACAGTCAGACATGAATGTGGTATCGTTCTTCTCGTCGTACGCTCTGAAAGAAACAGAATTAGCATATTTCCCAGAATGTCAAACTATCATAGAACTGCATGTGGATACATAAAAACAGCCTCTAGGTCTTATTTCTTGAAATATCATTAACTAAAATTAATACTTTAGTGCGGCCTGAATCACCTTTAAATTAGTATTTGTTGAGTAACTCATGGTAAAACATTGCAGTTATGGTGTATAACTGCAAAAAAATGTCCGACCTCACAGTGTTTGATTCAGCATTACTTACAAGGCATGTTTTTCTTGGTATGCTCCGGTTGTAATACCGATTTCTGTGTTATAAATCTCTATTTGTACTTTCTCGTGTACAGAAAGAGAAATAGAGATCTGACACATTTTTCTTCTTTCCAAACATTTTACATGGATATCTTAATATTTATTTGATCTAAATTTATTGGCGGAACTACTCTGGGTGTGTGTATTTTCTTCCTCTAAAAGAGAGAAGCAGATTCCATCACTCATTTTTCTTTCTCCAACACCACAACCCAACAGCTGGGGAAGTTCTGTTGTTTAGAGAGGGTTTAACTCTTTGGTGTTGTTGGGTTTTCCTCCTGATATGAGGTAACATCTTCTCTCCTTCCTGTGTTCCCCTCCCTCTGTCTCTTCCTGACTGAAGTTCAACAGGACTATGGGAATGATTACTGAGGAACATTCTCCAACCGTCCTCCTCTCCTCCTCCCCCTCGTCCTCCTCCTTCTGTGTCCTGTACAAGACTAGAAACTGTGGAAATTGATATATTATTCCTTCAAGGCCGCCATTTTTCTTGAGATGGATAATTACTCCTGATCCCGATGTTTAACCTCTAATCCCTGCAGCAGCGGTTTTTACATTTTGTTTCTCCAGAGACCTTCTTCCAAATTACTCCTGCAATCAACACATGCAGGATCTTTTCCAAAATTATCTGGATTATTTAATGAGAACTAATCTAACAGCCTGAAAGTCTCTGTTTACCCATTTTAGGTTAAAAAGCAAGGTGACTCCACAATAAAACAAGTGGTTTAAGGCAACTTTGTGCCCTTCATTTTGGTCTGGTGTAAGTTTTTAGAAATTTTTTTTTCACTAGACTTTCAGTCTTTATGCACATGATGCTCTGAGATTCCTTATTATGAGCAGAAGCGGGATTCATTTCTACTATCACTTAACTTTCTTGATAAAATTGGATCGTTAATCTTGCTGAGTCATCATTTGACAGTCTCAGAGATAAAAATTGATTATCTTACCTTCCCACAAGACCAAACAAAACCCCATAACGCTGCTGCGATGATCACCACCGCTGATCCCAGTGCCATCTGTCAACAAATACTCCACAATGCTTTACTGCAGCAGCCTCCACTTCAAGCTCAAATCTCTTCAAAGCTAATCTCTCTTTCAAAGCCTGATGAATCAGCTAAATAGTGATGAATTGCTTTGATGCTGATTGGCAGCATTCATACTGAACAACCCCTCTGTACTCTCTTACACTGTAAACTGAGCAGAAAATCAAAATTTTACCCGTTACTTGACCCAGATGTGATCTTTTTATTTCTGGAAAAATGATCAGATCTGGACAGTACGGGTCAGAAACCAGATTTTTCTTCAATTTCACTAACCCACTTCTTTATTAACCCAATCTTTTGGACACCAATCGTGGGTCCCAAATTTAGCTTGTGCCACTCCCATTCAACTTTTTTTTTTTAGTGTACTGCCTCCTTATTGATTTTAAATGGTGGTGGTGGCATTTAAGGTGGTTGTGGTTGTCCCAGTCAACCTTAATTTCGCTCCATGCTCATCCGTGCTGGTTTTCTGCAGTAATCCAAAAACATTCACTTAAACTGTCCCTAAATATTCCCGCCACCCCAGTCCAACCTTTGCCTCACGGCGGCTACCAGCCCTACAACCAGCCGTACAACCCTGCTGCAGTGGCTTACAACAACGACCAAGGAGGCGAAGACGAGGAGGAGGATGAGGAAGGAGAGGAAGAGCAGGACCCCTATTATCGTGGTTACCCCCCTCAGTACTACCCCCAACAGGCCCATGGCCACCATGGTTACCGCTCGAGCCCCACCCACTCTGAGGACACTGAGCTGAGGTCACCGGGCGTCGCCAGGAGGTTTCCGCGTGACGCCGTCGTGGAGGAGAGTGAGGAGAGAGGACTTTAAAAGGATGGACTCACCTAAAGTGCTTGAGCCCTGCACGCCACAACACACACACACA